AGTGGTTCCCCCTTCTCTCTGGAGCCAGATCTGATGTCCAGCCTACAAATATCCCATATGCCTTCCCTCCTGGGAGGATCCTGGAAAGATGAAGACTGCAAGCAAAGTGCTTAATGGACAAACCTCTGAGATGGGACAATGTGTCCCCTTCCCAGGGACAAGCAAGTCTTCCAGCTGGATATTTTTTGCAGTTGTTTGTCCTCTTGTTTTAAGCCGCGCCAAGAGCCAGAGAGAATCAATATATCCAAATATACCAGACTTCTCCCAGAGTCCCTTTGCTGGTTTGCTGCTGATGTATAGACAGATGATCTCATGAGACCTCTGCCACATCAGGCCACTGTGTCTCATCTATCTTAAGTGCATATACGAGCTGTGATCACTGCTGTGTCCAAGTGCCTCACGTCTGGAACGTATTTATCCTCCCATTGGTTCCGTGAGACAAGGGACTGCCATTGTACCTCTTCCAGGGAAGCCACGGAGGTTAAATGGACTTTTCAGGGGATATCTGGGATGTGGCAACGTAGGGGTCCTCTGAGGATCTCCCCTGTCTCTGCCTTGAAGCAACAAGGTGTCACCTGCCCCACAAATGACTGCTCAGACTCCGCACAGGATCCAGCTTTCAGCACCCAGCCTAATCCTGAGATTAATGAGGGATTCCCGCTACAGAGACCTCTCGATCAAACCTCTCACAAGTAAATACACCATCAAGCCAAACCATAATGTTTTCCTACCCTGGCAGCCGCTGTCTTAAGCCTCACACCAGAATCCATCATACTACAGCAATAATCAAAAAGCAATTAGACAAAACCGTGGCAGAAAAGTCCATCAAGGGTTGTTAAGGATGACGACTTGGATGCAGCCTCTGGCTCAGGGTGTCTGCGTGTGGCCAGGCGGATGAGCCAGTGGAGGGATCCACGTGCCCACACCTAGTTTTACACCCTTTCTTTGTGCCCCTGGCCCTGGCATGGCAGGATAACCACACTTTGCCTCCCCCTCATTACTGCTGAGCCATGCCTGCTCCTCCTGGGACAGAGGCTGCTGAGCCTTCATCCCTCCTGGAAGATCCCTCACTTCAATTCCTTGGCACGTTTCCTGAGCTAAATGGGAGGCATGACGAGTCTCGTGTCTGCAGCACAGATAAATATCCCCTGGACAGCTCAACATGGTGCCACTTGCTCTGCCAGGGCTCTGGCATCACCCCGAGCCCGGCAGCCCGGGATGCCAAGAAATCCCAGCCTTCATCCACCGAGAAAGGAAAACTGGCCTGACAACATGACAATCGCCATGACAACATCAGAGTTACCCCAAAAAAATAAATAAAAAGCCCAGTAACTATGGAAACACCTGAGTGACCAAAACCAGGCTAGTAACTAGAAGACCTCACTGCAGTTTACAGATGGCATTGGCACTGCGGGGCTGTGATACATCCAAAGCCTTGGAAACAGAGATGCTCAGCACCTAAGGGTGCAAAATGAATGCTCATGGGCAGACACAATGCTGCCTTTCAGACCCCTGAATCCAAGTCCTCTCCACAAATTCCACCTCCTCTGGAAAGATGCTGCTGCCTTCCTGCTGGGTGTTACATCCAGACCATGGTTATCCACATCCTTCTTTGCCTTTTTCCCTTCTCTCCACCCTGCTGAAGGTGCCTCCCTTGATTGCCATCTCAGTAGTCTTGGCCTGACAGGGGTGCCAAGAAAGGATGGAACAGCCCCATCCCATGCCAGAGCTTGGCATCCCCATATGGTTTTGGTGAGCTGTGTTTTGAAGCCTCAGTGCCTGGCAGCTCAGCTGACACTTGTGCTGCCAGTTGGAGCAGCCAAGCCCAGGACAGAGCCTCAAAGCAGTTAGGCCTCCTCTGGAGAGGCAGAAGAAGCTGAGACTCCACCAAATCCTCTTCTTTTTCCGCCTTAGCCTGTTCAGCTGCATTAATGGGAGTTGCTGTGGGTTAGTACAGCATTAGTGGGAGAAGAAATAAAATAGGACAGAGGGGGTGAGGCAGAGGGACAGAAGATAGACTGTACACATTGGTTGGACTGGTCATGGGTTCAAAAAATCCTTCTCCAGAGCCAGCATCCTGCTTTTGCTCTTGGCAGGAGATGGGCACAGGTAGGGCCAGGCACCATGCAAGGCTCTGATCAGTGATGGAGGCACTGATGGGACCAGCACCCTTGTGATTCACTGGCAGAAAACTCTCTTGCTCAGGTTCACTCAGCTCTTGAGTTATCCCATGAAAATGCTCTCCTCAGCCCAGCTGCAGGAACTCCCCCAGCCCCCAAACCAAACAGAGCCTCAAAAACCAGCCTCCCAGAACATGGCAACGACTGCAGACAGGAACATTCAGCAGAGTTCACCAGCCCAAGCCACTAAACACATATTCATCAGAGCAGAGAGGGAACAGCCAAGCGGTTAGGGCAGCCTGGAGTCACTGGAAAAGGGTCTCCAGTGGGATCAGTCCTCAGGGAGCTGTGCTGCTCTGGGTGTAAATCCTCTGAAGGACCTGATCATGTGCTGCCCTGGTGAGCAAACACTTTGATTTACTCCATTTCCCCCCAAGAGCTGTGCAGTGGGCTCACAGCTGCCAAGGAAATAATAAACCCCATGAAGTGCCTTTGCACGGAGCAGCAGCATCAGCATGGGATCAGTCCTTCAGCTCCCGGGGTGCCCGTGCCTGGCACAGCCAGCGCTGGCACAGCCTGTCCCCAGCGGTGTCGGTGAGAGCTGCTTACCATCCGCTGTGTAAACCCTTAAATTATGCACCAGCACTCCCTGAACCAATTCTCCCTCATCCCTTTCCTCCACCACTCCAAGCGAGACGGAGGAAGACGGCGAGAAGGAACAGGAGGCATCTCACTCGAGACTTCCCGTGGGACGAGTAGTGGACCAACAACTGAGAGAGGGGCCAGCAGCAAGCTTTAGGTTTCACTTGCTCCCAGTTCTCCAAATTAGAGTATATCCTACTAGGAAAAGGGATACCATCCTGGCACCTGCTATAGCACCTCTATGCATCTTCCCTGGCTCTCATTTCAGTCCTCATGATTCCCATCCTTGTCTTTGCTGCGTGTGGTGAATGCAAAACGGGGAAGTAGAGGTTCCCCTTGGTGGCTTGGCAGATCCATAGACAGAGGAGCTGCCCATGGAGATGGACAGCCATGGAAGTTGTCCTGGGTCACCTCTGGGCTCAGCACCTCCCATCAGCAGGAGACCAGGTTCAAGTAAATCTCTGTGATCATTTGTTCCCTTTGAGTTTTGAAAGCAGAATGCCTAATCATGGCCAAAATCAGGAAAGAGCTGCTGCTGCAAATTACACAGCGCCACAGGTAATTTCTGATTAGCTCACTCTTCCTCTCCTGGTGCATCCTCAGTTTCCATAGCAGCTAAGTCCTAAGTAAAATGGAAACATCTGGTTCAAGCGCAGGTAAAGATTCCCTGGGGGAAAAAAACCTGCTGGATGGCAGCAAACACAGAAAATAGCCCTCGTGAAAGACAGAGGCATCAGGAGCCGGGAGCCTGGTTAGGACAGGATGGATGGTGTGTGGGAGAAGGCAGCAAGGGGCACGGGAGTGGGAGAAGAGGGTCCTGGGGGAGCTGGAGGGGATGTGGGAAGGTGAGTGGAGCTGTGGGGAAAACAAGATGCATGTGAAAAACAGGCGGTGAGGAGGCTGAGCAAAACAAAAACATGTTGTCAGGGTAGACAAGGGGAAGAGGAGGAAGAAAAGACTTTGAGGTAGGAGCACATGGACTGCCTCAAACATAAATGCTGCCTGGTGGTGACAACTTTGATTCCATAGAGACACTCAGGGATGGGGAGGAGCACACGGATCTGCACCCTGAATTTCATCAGTTAGCCATGCAGAGACCTCAACTGAAGCCATCTTGCTGGAAGCAAGATCACCTACAGTGGATGAGGCAACACGTGCACTGGGGGAACAGTTTTTACAGAGACTCCTGTCAGGGGAAGGGGCTGAGATGCCACCAACTCAGCTCGCTCTGTGCCTGGGCTTTGGGGAGTGATGGATCAGGCCCAGCCGTTCCCTCCAGCGCAGACAAACAGTAAAAAAATCAATGGAGCTGCAGTGAGACACCGCAGCCATCGCCAGGCAGCAACAGGAGGAGCGGCCACGGCACCATCCGTCACTGCCGCCCCTGCGCCGCCGCCTGCGCCGGACAGCCCGGACGGGCGTCCCCGAGGAGAACTCGAGGCAGTTATCTGCAACAACAGCCCACACTGGTAAAACCTCAGGGGAAACACGACTCTGAGGTGGAACTGAAGCGCTTAGACAGGATCAGAGGAGCAGAGCCAGGCAGCGACGCTCGGCCGCACAGCTCATCCCACCCAGAGCCCCCCGGATCCCACCCCCAGCTCACCCACGAGATCCTCGCGGCCACAGGGGGATAACAGGGCAGCAAAATGCAAAGCAGAGGCCAAAAAGCAGCTGGGGAAAGGGTTTGAAATTATACGCTCCCGAACGCATGGGAATTTGCTTCCCAGCAGTCACACCCACACAGTTCTGCTGAGGCTTTGCTTACCAATTAACAAGGCCACCAATTAATGCTTCATGTGTTTTCCTGCTCATTTGCACTATTTACAATCTTCCTTTGAAGCAACGTGTAAGAATTGCCTGAAAACTTCTCAAAACAGGGCCAGACAAGCACGTTCAATGTGCAGTGGGGGTGCCCCGTGCAGGAACTCCATGATCCTCGTGGGTCCCTTCCAACTCAGGGTATTCCCCGATTCTCTGAATCTCTGAGCACGACAAACCCAACCTGGCACCTACAGCCAGTCCTCCCCCCGACCAAAACCATAAACTGTCCTTCCAGACCACTAAGATGGATGTTCCTCTACCAAAGTCAACAACTCCTGCATTCAGTCACATCTTTTCCGTTCACTTCACCTTCACTTTGCAACTTCACCTTCACCAGCTTCAGACGCCTCTCTGGCTGCTCACAAATGCTGCTGTGCCCCTCCCAAAATATCTCTGGGAGTGTTTGGTTCTTACCTTTGGGTGAGATATGTCTCCAGGTGATTGTTGGATCTGGCCTGCCCGTGGCTATGCAGGTGAGGCTGACGTTGCCGCCCTCATTGATGGAGATGTCAGGAGAGATATCGGTGATTTTTGGAGACACTGCAATGACACAAAGAGGAGAAGGAAATTGAAACCGGTTCTGCTCCAACTCAAATCTCAAGCTGTGGGTGAAGGAGACTGAATTTCCCTCCACCTTGACAAGCTATGCAGTAGCCCATCAGTCTCATCTGACTTGGCAGGAGCTCACAGGGAAAAGAGGGGGCAGAGAAGACAGGGCTGAAGTGGGAAAAAATTGTAGCCAGAGGGGATTCAGCCATTTTAGGGAGGCTCGAGAAGCTCCTCCTCAGCACCTCCACAGTGTGTGAGACAGTGCTTCTTCCTATCCCACTTCCAGCACTCCTTGTGTCCTCTCAGCCATGACAAACCCTTCCCAGCAGAGCTGCATCCTGAGAAAACACCATCCACCCCTTCAAACTCCTGCAGCTGTGCAGGATCTCTGCCAGGCCCTTGTAACCAGAGAAGCACCAAGAGGAGCTGGGCATGGAGACAATGAGTCCGCCAAGGAGCCTGTAAGTTCTACCAGCGTGCAAAGGAAGGGAAATTCCATGGGGATGGAAGCCATGCCACTGCACTGGCACTGCCACCATGAACACTCAGGAGAGGGTCAGATCTGAGGGGTCCAGGACTAAGGAGAGGACAGGGGGAGATGAGGAGGGGGCTGGAAAGGGATGAGGAGCAAGCAGGGAGCACTGGGCTCCTGCTGCTGTGTGAGCAGAGGACACGGTGCGGCTGCCAGGGAGGGCTGAGGTTTCCAGGAGCACCACGGTGGGGCTGTACAAGGAAAAACGATCAGCTGCTCTTATCAGCCTGCACCTGCAGAACATAATAAAGACCATCACCTTCCTGGGTTTATTTCCAAGCTTTCTCGGGAGCCCAGCAGTGGACTGGCCCCTGCCGCGGCGCTTTGCAGGAGAGGCACAAATCACTCGCAAAGCATCCTGCTCCTTCCAGCCTTCCTGGGCGAGCCCCATCCATCACCCCGCCCCCAGCTGCAGCCCAGACCACCGCAACACCCCTATTCCTGGCTTGGACCCCTCGCTCCTGAGCATCCCTTCCCTGCCTCTCCCCACCTCCCACACCTTCCCGGGCTGCTCCGAGCCGGAATGACTGCAATGGCCTTGCACGCAATGCCTCTGCTGTGCAGGTAAGTAATTTATTGATCCGTAAAGCACTCCAAGACGCTCTGGAAGGGATTATGTCATGCCAGTGCCGTGCAATAAAATAAAAAATGATGGATTTTTTGTGAACATGATGGTGATTTAGGGTTTGTAGTTTGAAGTGTAGTTAAAGTACATTTTAAGTGGAAATCAAGGTGGGTAATGAATTATTCTCTGTTTTGAAGGGCTTCTGGGAGTTCATTTTTTTTGCTGCTCTGGGCACAATGGCTAATCTGCTAATCATGCACTGGAGAACAACTATGGATCAGATGCTCCCAAACAGTGGGGGCTCTGGGGCAGGACAGTGGAGGGCATGAAGATGACACCAAAAGAAACATTAATATGCATCGGTGTCATTAAGGGGACAGCACAGCTCTCCTGGGGCCACCCAGAGCTGGGAGATGCTCTGCCCATGGCCAGGTATTCCACTGAGGAGAAGCAATTAATTACAGCAGTGCTCTGATTACCCTGCTGTATTCCTGCTGGGACTGCCAGCCAGGAAATCCACGTGTGCTTTAAAAACATGGAGCTTATGGGCTGGACAACAAAAATAGGCCATGGTGGTATTACCACTGCCATTTTGGAGAGGTGGGAAGAGACAAGCACAGACAAGTGGATCACCCACCATTGCCTGGGAAGCACCAATAGCTTCCAGCTCTAAGTCCTGACAAACTAGAGCAGTATCCATAACCTTTAATGTGCTGTTTGCTGCATCACAGAGGAACCCTTCTGATGTTTTTAACTGCTGAATCCACCTCAACCCAATTCAGCTTGTTTTGCAGAGACTTTTTAAAAAAAAAAATTAAGTCAGACTTTGAGCTGCTACTCTGGAACTGCACAGGCAGGTTTGCTCCCACCCAGGAGAGAGAAAAGAACTCAAGTGACCAGATTATAAAACATAATCAAAACAAATTAAACTTGGGTTTCATTGACAGGACAAGGGGGAATGGTTTTACCTGAGGAGGGTTGATTTAGAACAGATACAAGAAGTTTTTTACAATGAGGGTGGGGAGGCCCTGGCACAGGTTGCCCAGAGAAGCTGTGGCTGCCCCATCACTGGAAAGGTCCAAGGCCAGGTTGGACTGGGCTTGGAGCAACCTGGGCTAGTGGAAGGTGTCCCTGCCCATGGCAGGGGGTGGAATGAGATGGTCTTTAAGGTCCCTTCCAACCCAAACCATCACATGATTCTATGAAAAGCAGCTCAAGCACCAAGGAAAAAGCCCACCAGAGTCCAGCAAGTTCAGGACACTCTCAGGGAGATGCAATTCCCTGTGTCCCATCTGGAATGAGAGGAGGCAGGAATGGCTGGGAAGCAAACCAGAGCAACAACATCATCGGAGCTGTTAACTAACCCTGGAATGAACTATGCAGTGGTAGGATTTAACACGGTGGGTATTGTATGCTAATTAAATGTTTGAATATTTAACCACACAAACTACTCCAAATGCCTTTCTGGAGGCTGAACAGGTGTGTTGTAAAGCCTTTACCACACCGGGGAGGGAAACCTTAATAAAGTGATCCAAGAATATATTTAATATTATTTAACAGTCATCACTTCTTCCATTCCCTCTGCATTAAAGGGCTTTCACCATCAGCTGGCATTTCTGCAGCACTGGGGCAGAGGAGACATTTCCTGTGCCGAAAGCAGGATGCAGATGGAGCTGTGCCCCTTTGGGAATGAATAAATAAATAAAGCTAAGTAAATGCAGGCTTCCCAGGCGGGAACCCTCTCCTTGCGGGCAGTGCTTTTGTGTTCAGCATCTCCCTTGCTCAGGAGTGATTAAACATGGCAGTGTTGGCCAAGCTGCTCCAGTGACACAGCACAGATTTCCCCAGAGGCAGGATGGTGGTTTATCGATCCAACTTCTTTCTCCCCTCCCTCCCCAACCCTGCCAGGGTGCTGGGGGAGGTCTCTGGGCTGCTCTCAGCCCTCCACAGGTGATCAGGGCGTGCCCCCAGCTTGACTCCTCGCACACATGAAGTCCCCAGGACAGAAAGCAGCTTGCTTAAATATTTAACCAAACCATCTGGCGCGTCACACGTTCGAGGGTGTTCAGTCAGGTGATATATGTCCTTACGGAGCCAAGCATATGTGCTTGCCTCCACAGATAGATTCCCTGGCGCACAGACACCCTCCTGCCACTGGCACAGACAATATCCCTGCTACGCTTTCACCTCCAAACACCCGCTCCAGAGCCAGCACAGGTGCAAAAGCTCACTTATCCCAAGCACGTACCCCACGGCAGCGCTGCGCACGGATCTTCATCTCCCGGGAATGCTGCAGGGCTCCCCTTGCACCCACACCACCTCCTCTGCTGCCTCTCCCATGACACTCACTGCAGGACTGAGCCCTGATCACTCCTCCAGCTGCCTTTTATAGCTTATCCCAAATTACATAAACATCCCCAGCTTTGCCTTGTTGCTCAGGCCCTGCCATCTCCATGTGATCACCTCCCCACCCACCCTCCTGCACGCATGACCCTGCTGCTTGCCTGGGCTTCCCTGTCCCTGACACCCCAAATTTCAGCCATGCAACAGGCAAAGAGTCCCCTGAGTACAAGGGAAGTGTGGATGTGGAACAACCTCTCCACCAGAGACTGGGAAGGAGACCTCAGATGAGCCTCACCAAGCTGGGGGCCTTTCAAGGAGTAACTGCATATTTTTGCCTTAACCACCCCCTTTCTACCCACTTTTGGGAATCAAGGAAGTAGTGCAGAAATACACCTGTGACCTTCCCAGACCTGCAAACCCCTTCTGGTGTGGCAGTGAGGCAGAGCAGGTGCTATCCCAGAGAAGGGGACTCACAGCCCCCAGCACAGCCTGGGAGCGAGCAGCTTTCCCGGGAAGCCTCGCAGTGCCTGCTTCCCCTTCATAAAACATGCAAACCTCCATCTTCCAGCACGAGCAGCATCTGCTCCAGATCAAAGGGAACAACAAAGAACAACTATAAAAGTGTCTGGAAGAAAGAAAAAGAGGCAGAGTCAGACTTGCGTTCTGCAGGCAATCTGTGATGTGCACTGGCAGCTTCCTGAGCATCAGCCTGACGCTGTTCCTGCTTTAATAACAGCTTCTTACTGCTGTCACACACACAATTCCCTGTGTTTTACAGAGTTTGCTACCACGGGTCCTGCCTGTGGGATCTGGGGAGGGGGAGTCCTGGCTGTGCTGGGTATCCTTGCAGCAATGCTGTGAGTCAAACCAAGCCCCCACTCCAAGATTCGAGGGGCCTGCAAAAGTCAGATGGGATCAAGCACAAGGCAGGGACTCCAAAATCAGGCTCCAGGACTCCTACAGGTTGTAACCAGAGTGGTTTGCAGCTCCCAGGTTGGAGAAGGAACAATGCTCCAGCTGCTGCAGTGCCAGGCACCTCCATTATGCCTTCTCCCTCCTTTGTGTTCCAAAGCTTTCTGCCTTTAGGGAGCAAATTGAGAGCCCTGTGCCTTCAATTACAGGTGTGTTATAATGGGCTTTTAAATCAGTTTGTGCTGCTTTAACACAATTATAATTAAGAGAAAAGCAGAGAGGGCTTTGTCCTTGCATCATACCAACCTTCCATCCTATCATCCTTTCATCACATCATCCTTCCATCATATGCTCCCAGCTCAGGAGCCCTTTTGAGGATGCCCACAGGGTGTGAGGAAGGGCAAACACAGCCTTAGAGCCTGCTTGGTCACATAGATTTGTACACAAACCCCTTGTGTGCTGATCCTTCCCCCCAGGGCTGCCTGGACCCCGGGTTGGCACCATCCCCCCCTTCCCATGTTCATCCCAGCTTTGCCCAGGGATCGATCCCCCCTCTTCACAAAGCTGGCAGCAGGCAAAGCCGTGAAGAAAGACGGCTGGAAACGAAGAGGACATACATAACAACCTTAATAAGCAATT